AGTAAGTTACAAATTGCTTTCGAGATGTCATTCCGTACTGAAAACAAGGCCATGAAAAAATACGAAAAGAACAAAGAACAAATTTGTAATTGCAATTTAACGAATCAGAAAAGCATTTCCGGTACCACCGCGGACCAGTGAATGATCTGCATACCGGAGAACCTGTTGCTGATTTTTGTGCATTTATTCGAAATAGTACCTGATAATGCGCTCTTACTTTGCAGAACAGGTCCAGAAAATTTTTGAACTTTTTCTGCACCCGATTGACTAAGCATCCATGAAGATGTACCTTTCCTGATGTCTGTTATATTGATGCCGTTGTCGTGCGCCGATACTCATTTGATTGCTATGCAGCAACTGCGAGCGACAAGGACTAAAACAGTTCTCGAAAAAGGTTAGAAATGATTGCAATTTAGCAATTGATACGCAGGTGTCGTTATATTATACCAGTTATATTATTAACGCATAAGGATTGCCTACCTACCACAGGATTTACCTTTAGTGTCGCTTAGCAATCACGATGTTGCAACTGCTTAAGGAAGGTCTAATAGTTTGAGGGAGTAGGGTTATGTACGTTTGATTAATGATAAAAGTGGTTTCTTGCTTATAACTGCGGTAATGGTAAATTGAGGCGAAGTTCATTAATCATCATAAGTGAAGTGCTCAAGGCATGTATTATATTTGATTTTTAGTGCTCGGAAACAGGTCAAAGATTGCTGAAGATATTTGGCTATCTAAACAAGCTGCGTGCTTCATGCCACTGTCGGTACTGAAATGCCTTCAAGAGAAACTGAACTTAAACCGTAGAGTAGTAATCATTTTCCTTGAAAATTGTTCAGGTTTACGATTACTTCCTTTTCAATGATCTGTTCTTCATTTTACGATGAGAATATAGAAAAACCGAAGATGCCAGTATTGAGAAAAGAAGTTGCATCCGCAGCGGGAGATCTCTCAGAAAACTTGCAACGTTGAAATTTGGAGACGATGGTCGAATACTCCGTCAGCAGACACCCTTCACAAGTAACCAAACACACGTGACAGGTTATTGTTAAGAAACAACGCAGTGGTCGTAAACATTAAGGCATAACGTTCGGCTCGTTCTCGTCCTGTACGGGCGTCGCTACTCTTTCTTCGGATTCCGCGGTGACATCCTCAGATGAGCTCATCTAAAAGCAACACATACATACGTAAACAAAGACGAACGCAGCAGATTATTCAAGTAACCGTAAACCAGAAAACGCAAATAATTCACTTTAACAAGTTAATTCCTGTGAATTGTACTGGTAGTAGTCGTTTCAAGAAGTCATTTCGACGGTTTTAAAACTCGACATACCAGCTAGCTCAATCTGTTCAAAAGCCTGAGAATGTCACGTGCTCACCGTCACCTCGACCTGCTTTCTTTCGGCCTGGCACGTGACTTCGCAGAGTCCGTTTAGGCCCTCGGTAGTCTATCAAACTGGCCACATGGAAAAGTAATCGTGCCTTCGATTTCTTGAATTATAGAAGAACACGAAAGAACGCCTTTCAGATCGTCGTGTTCCAAACTTTGTCGAGACTCGTCACGCAGACAGCTATTTGAATGTAACTTATTTCTACGTGGATCAGATCCATTTAATCAATAGTCATGGTTCCTTATCGCATGGTTCCACATTACTGCATTTGCTTTATCGATTCATCTGTATATTCAAGTGCAGTTTTTTGTAACTCACAAGAACTAAGTCCGGCTAACATGAATTTCTCCACATGATTCACTATCATTCAACAAGTCTGCACAGCAAAACGTGTCAAATTTTCCAAGAATACAAAAGCTTTAAATTGTTTAGGTTAATTCTCATTCTTTATCAAAAGTTGATGTGACAGTCCTGCGTTTTGACGTTTGACGACACTTACAAACTACCGTCAAAATCAGGTAACACAAAACTGGCTTCTATCTAGTTGTGAAAATATGTCAATATCATAGCCCCATAACAACATAATAAGATACTTATACTGGTTTATAAGTAGAAATTTACAGAAATATAGAGCAACTGGTTGCTGCTAATACAACTTGGTTTCTATACACCG